TGGAGAGAGAGTGCACCCTGCTGCCCGACTCGGCCCACCCTGACGCTGCCTTCCAGCTGTCCCACGCCGCACAGCAGCTCAAACTGGCCAGCACCGGGGACTCCCAGTACGCTGCTTTCGATCACAATATTGCTCCCATGCACACTGACTTCTCCAGCTGAGCCTCGTCTGAAAGAGTGAAGAATTGACTGAAATCTAGCAACATCAGCCTGTGTGGACCAACGATGACACAGCGTCTGTTGTTGTGCTGAATGTTGTTTAAAGGACTCAAAGGGGCCGCTTCAGAAACCGTGTGGACCCAGGATGAGTCAGTGTGATAACGTGCACTCCTTCTTTGATACTGCCTGAAAATGGCTAAATGTACCTTGTGAAGGTTTTGTAAAATGTTAGCGTGTACATAATTTTTTACATGTTCCTTTGTAGGACCTTTTTCACAAATTGACTAGATTTAAATTTCCTTTTTATTCATTGTCAAGTAAACATGTCAAACTTGGCTTTCAAAATTCAGATAATTGTCAAAATACAAATTCTACAAAGCAGGTTATTGAGCTAAAGGGACAAAAGCCCCTCTGTATTTGAGCAGTCACCAGTGTAATGGTCCCTGAGGTTTGTGGGATGTTTCAGAAATCTGGACTGATAACGAATACAGTATTTGTTGAGAACTTTGTACTTTCTTCATTCATACACACATTGTTATTATAAACGACATCAGGAGGACCACCACTGCATTAAGAAACACCAACAATATCAAAAGGAAAATAAATGGAATCACATGTGTATACTTTTTATGGCTTATTACATCTTTTAACTAATCTACAAAACATTTTTTTTAAATACCAGAGGAATTAATCAGTAAATGAGACATCAGTGCAATGATGACATGTTGCATCATCTGTGGGTTGTTCAGGGTGAACACTAATTCAATTGTTTTAGTAAGAAAAACTGTGGATAAGGAACTCGTCTTCATAACACCTGAAACATGGTTTGAAACCGTTTAACCAGGCAGGCAGCAGAGGTGTTGTTTGTTCTGAATCTCAATTAGCTTTCCTCTTTTTGGTACGGAAACGCCTCTTCCTCTGCTTGTAGAGATGACGAAAGTTGATAAGCAGTCCTAAAATAGAAACCCAAAGATTGATATATTAGTACAAAAAAGCTGACATTAGAAGATAATATATGCTCAAATGTGTATATAGATAATGATGTATGTGCAAACTTACCAAGAAACATGAGGACCAGATAGATGTACAGGACGAAAGAGAAGCTGATGGAAGTACCGAGGGCTTTCGGCAGAGGAATGCTGAAGAGTTTGGTCTCATCAAAGATGGGAATGGATTGTATTACAGCAACAGCTGTAGGGATTTAGAGACACTTTAGTACTTGTATGTGATTATTTTGTATTGATACCAAGAGACGTAAACAAGCTCACCTTCTGCTAAAACACCTAATGGATACAGTGGTATCCAGATTGTGTACCGCAGCCATGTCAGAGTTTTCCACTCTGTGTTGAAGCAGCCCAGCATGTAAAATGGATACCTAAAATGGGAGATTAATGTTATTTGATGGAGGAAACAAGACGTGTAGCTCATCAACTGAGGCATCTTTATAACAATGTAGGCTAGATGATCTGCTTGCTGTTCTGTTGATTATTGTAACACCAACTTCTGCTGAGAAAACCTTAACCTCAAACCTTAGTCAGGTTGAGTGTGACTTTGCTGCAACGAGGGGATTTTTACTGCACTTGTTGAGTCACCAGTTAATGCCACAAAACAGCGTTTCCATGTGTTGTAGGACTGCAGCTATTTATTATTTTCACTATCAAATAATCTTTCACGACTCATTCTGTCTGATCTATAAAGCATTGGAAAACAGTGTGAAATCATTATGAGCACAATATGAGGCCATTAAATGTCTTGTTTTCTCCTAACAGTCAAAACACAAAAATATTTATTCAACTATAATTTAAGGACAAGAAAAGAAACCAATTCTCATATTTTAGAAACGGGTACCATCAAATGTTTGTCCTTTGTATGACATACATTTACAACATTGTTTAAACTTATATATCTTATTGAAAACAAAATCCACAATTCAGCAAAAGGATTTATATATACTGGCTTCATACAAAAGATTGGTCTAGGACTTGAAAGGAAACGTCAGCCTTTACCTAGTCCCATGAAGTGACTGTTCACCAACCATGACGATGCAGATGCTTACTTACCGCACAATCTCAATGGCACTCCACAGATAGAAGACGAAGAACACAACAGGCCGGTTGTGCATTTCTTCCAAACTACCAAAAATGATGAAGAGGACAAAATTCCTTCCAACCACCTAATAAGAGAACAAAACCCATACAAATAAGTACTTGCATTCTAAATGAATCAGCTTCACTTCACATCAAACAAGCCTTGCACACCTGTATAAGACTTGGAATAACACCCGAGTGGACGACACCAAAAGCAGCGTTGAGGACTTCGACTGCAGCCAAGATCTGGCAGAAGAACATCACGTCCGATATGGTGTGAAATGTGTCGTAGAGAGAATCTGGAAAGAGAGAGTATTATTATAAATAATCATTCTTTCCATGGTATTTGTGAACAAATCGATCACAGAAGAAAAACAGTAGCAAATGTAAAGCCACAGCAGTTTTAGTTTTTCTCACCTTGGCCAAAGATGAAGAGCCGCACGGTCATGTTGACAAAGATCCATGAAAAACCAAGAAACTGCACCAGGTTATAGACAAACAGAAAGGCTGTTTTCAGGCTGATAAACCCTGGAACATTTGAAAGAACAAAAAAACATTGAAACAACCAACATCAACTTGCTTGATTAAAGTTATATGAAAAAGACTACAGCGAAAAACCTCAAAGAATCATGGGAGATGTGCACTCACCTTCTTCCTCTTTATGCCTGGAAGCCTTCAGCCTGTTCTTTTTCTCCTCCTTTTTTAAGAAAAATAAAATGTAGGTTAATACGTTTTCAATCTTTGCTTTCTGTATCAATATTACTATCTTAATAATGTAGTCATTTGAATTATTGAGTATGTTATTTAACCATCTGTTAAATATACAGTATTACAATGTCCCTCTGATGCAATAACTTAAAGGTCCCCTATTATACTGTTTTTCATCAATATATTATAGGTCTCAGATATATATAAAACATGTCTCTACAGTGTTTGCCTCCAAACAGATCATGCGTTGTAGCATCCCATAAACCCCTCTGTTTCAGCCCTGTTTCAAAAGTGCTGATTCTCTGTCTTTAACTTTAGATGAAAATAAGGAGCCCCTCCCCACGTCCCTCTGCGAGATATTTGGTTACAAAGAACACAATCGTGCTCGAGGAGGAGATTCAGGATAAGGTGGGGGGGGGGGTTACCTTGGTTGGTGATTGGCTAATGGTTACACAAGCCAAAACATCTGTATGACATCACAAAGTGGCCAAAATCTAATCAGCTCATTTTCAGCCAGGTTTTTTTTATATTAATGGATCAGGACAAAAAGAGAGAATCTTTTTTCCTGAAACTTTCAGAATCTCTTTCGACAGAGTGGACACAAGTTTATGTATAAAAGACATGAAAAAGTGGATTTTGCATAATAGGTGACCTTTAAATCTTACTTTTTCCCGGATCTCCATCTCAGCATCCGACTCGTCCAGCCAGCGGTCAAAGTCCGGAGCCAGGAACACCGGTTTGCGCTCCTTCAGCGTCAGTCTCTCCCACCAACTGTGCTGCCCTTTCTTCACCGTGATGCTCACCTGGCGCTGCGTGGACCTGTGGATCACCTGCAGACAGATTCATTTATAGAGCACAGTCAGCAAAACTAGAAGGAATAAGAAGAAAAGAGCAGCAGATAACTAGGAGTGGTGTTTAAATAGAGACATACCTCTGGCTTTACTGGTGAAAGAAACTCCAAGCTAAACTCGTATTCATTTTGTCCTTTCGCACCATGGCCCTGGGCTACACACACAAAAAAGAAAAGTCACAAATCATTCATTTCCTAAAACATTTGCATTGTCAAATAAACATGAAATGTATGTTACCTTTAAACTGAAGGATGTTTTCATGGACATGCACATCTATATCCTGCAACAAGAAGCAGAGAGGCCGATGATTAGTTTATACTTCCTCTTAAATATTTAGATTGGAATTAAATAATGATATTACAACCTCAACACAACTGGATTCAGACAATAACACTGTTGAATTTGAAGTCAATGCTTCTTTAACACTAATCCATCAACAGTGGATTATTGAGTGCAATAGTAACATTTAATTACCAGCAACAACAATTTGTTGTTCCTTGTTTTAAGACACTGGAGGAAATGAGCTGTTTAACAGAATTAACACCCTGTGTCAAATCTTGTTTCCGTGTTCTGTGTAACACCCACAGTAACCTGCAGTGCTATCAGGACAAAGAACTATGACCACAATGATGCTACATTTGAAAAGGATAAATTAACGTATGCAACTGACTATAGTATACACACACATTTGATTAAATCCATGACAACATGCCTTAACAGAGGGCTTTGTTAATATAATATCTCGTAAACATGCAAAGTGTGCAGCTACCCAACGAGGGCAAGTACAGGAACCAGCACACTTCATTTGTCTAATTTAATATTTACCCTTAGAGGCATACAATAAATGACAAGCCCTGACAGAAAGCATGTTCCTTGGTAAATCTACGTCCTGCATGATGCTCTATTGTTAGCTCACCTGAGCGTCTGTCAGCTCCACTCGCAGGTAAATGTCTTCGTGGCGTTGAGCCCAGTAAACGAGGGGTGTGAGCGGCATTGTTCCGCTTTTTGTGTAGATTGTTTTTTTTTTAAAGTGTCAGGCTAAACAATGATTAAACTGTCCTCGCTTCATGCTAGCCGTCATCAAATACCCAGAATATTCTGTGAATGCGCGCGTTCGCCATCTGTCAACGTTACGACGTGCTCGTACACGATAGGTTCTGCTCTCCTCTGATTGGCTGGCAGAACTGGGTGAATATTTACGGAAGTTGCAACCCAGAAGTGGTTTACATGAGAAATACAGCACTTTGCCCAACTTTTTCTTGGTAACATGCTAATATGCAGACAGAGGAGCATGATTCTGGTCTAAAGGCTGGTTTGTTGAAATCTTGTGGGACATGTCGTGTTCTTGTCGGTGTAACGGGAAGTGTTGCAGCCCTAAAACTGCCTGTGTTGGTATCACAGCTTCTTCAGCTCTCTGGGGTGAGCTGCTTCATTCATTTCTGTGTAGAGCCTTCTTTAAAGGACTGGATGAAAAGTGAAACAATGAAACTGCTTTAGAGTGAGCTGATGTCTTAAAACTGAAGGTTTATTTAAACTTGATAAAGGAGTACAGACTATGACAAATCAATCAGGACACAGAGGAAACTATCAGTTCTGCCCAACTCTCATTTTACCTAACCAAGTCTCTTTTAATAAACCAGACATTATATCTCAAGCCGAAACATAAAAGCGCCAAAACAAAACGCCATCTGAAGTGTAGTTTCTTTAGATGTTATTGAGAGGTTGTCGTGTTTATGGCTCTGCTTTCAACAGTGACATGATAAGGAGCTTGTAATCCGTATTCAAGCAACTGATCCTGATAGCTTGAGGGAGTTGGCAATTACCATACACAGGAATGTCCCTCCCAGGCTCCAAGCAAGGGATACACACAGTCATTCAGAATAGTGGCTATCATTTAGACTATGATTGGGTCAATGCTTAAGAGTTAAGGACTTGATACGTAATGCTGTATCACTGTCTACAGTCTACCTATGTAACATATCCAACAACCATACTCCCATGCATCCTAACCAATCCTAACACATTGTTTCTCTACATGGTGGCATAACCTCACCCTAACCACAAGATGGAGATGTTGCAGCTGTTAACCAGCTGTATACAACAACATGGTTATACTGTTGAACATCTCTCTTATTCAGCGACAGTATTGGTATTTTACTTTCACATCCAGCCGTTTTCCTTTAAATCTTCTCAAAGTACAGTTGGAATAAATGAACAAAGCAGTGGCTGCAGCATACTCCGCACCATTAGCAGAAGCTGCATTCATGAAAACCTCAACCTGAGTGTCAATGGGAAACTAAAACAAGAAGTAAAGGAGATGCCTGTATTACTCTTTAACGTGTTTTGCAACAATGCTGAACAAGGCATCCTTAATATTTGTAATGAGCATTCAGCTTGAGAGACAGAAACTCAAACCCTAGGAGTTACACTAAGCAATGAATGTATTTTGATTTGATAATATTGTATAATTAAATTAAATGGCTCTGACAAGTCAAAACCACATGCCAATGTGTTATAGTGCAACTCTGACGACACAATTCTGAGAAAGGTGTTCATGTATACTAAAGTGCAAGACCCATAAATGTTCTCTAAGACAAAGATCAGTTACTCGCCCCTTGTATGTGTCTTTAATTATTTTTTCCATCTTGTCAATAGCCTAAAGCAATAGACAAGTGTGTTTTTAAAAACCCTGTGACTGTCACTGTCTTGTTTTATGCTTAAGGTGGACATAAGAGTAGTCACTACCGAACATGCCAAGCACTTCTACAATCCTGCAGAGGTCTCAGTAAAAGTCTACGATGACAAGGATGAGTGGGAGGTAAAAACTAACCTGTCAAATGTCGTAGTTAAGCCATTATGAACTGGCAGCCTACAGCAGTTTCTCAAGCTTGGTGCTACTGATAAGCTGACAAGATTGTGTAAGATTCCTTCAATTTAGATTTTAATAACTGATGTATTCATTTCAGAAGTTGAATCCGTGTGACACATCTTTGAACAATTGGAAAACAGTCAATGTCAAGCTCCCTTCATGTTCTTGAAATTAAAATATAAAAGATCACAACTTAAATGTGTGAGTGAATTAAAATGTGGCGTAAATTATCCGGACATTGCGTGACAGCTATCAAATGGCTGAGGTCAGGAGAATGTTGAGACATAAAAACGTGGTCAAGAGCCAGGAAGATTGAGAAACTCTGGTCTAAAGTGTCAAGCTATCTAGAAAGGAAGTGAGGAAGTGTTTATTTTGCTATGTTGCTGACGGCATGTCTCTGTTCTAGCTGTGGACTCAGAGGTCTGACCCTGTGTTGCACATTGAGCTAAGGCGCTGGGCAGACCTTTTTGTCATTGCCCCCCTTGATGCCAACACTCTTGGAAAAATTGCGAATGGAATTTGTGACAATCTCCTGGTGAGAACATGAACACATTATCTGACTCCCGACAAAGTGTTCTTTCAAATAATAAGTATTTAGATGATTTACTTGAACAAGTTGATTGGTCTTTGTCATTGGCAGACATGTGTGGTGAGAGCCTGGGACACCAGTCGCCCTCTCCTCTTCTGCCCTGCCATGAATACAGCCATGTGGCAGCATCCCATCACAGCCCAGCAGGTATCCAGGCTCACAGAGTTTGGATATGTGGAAATCCCCTGCATTGCTAAGAAGCTAGTATGTGGAGATGAAGGTGGGTTTTCAGTATAATACAAACGCTAAATATATTAAATGTGTACATGACATCTGTAGGAGCAAACACAGTAGTGGTGGCTTAAAGCCTACCTCCGCTCCGCGCCGTCCGTTAGATGAGCCTGGTCAGATTTAATAAAAATAAGTTCAAAACACCGGCATAAAAGTTATAACAATAATCTGATTTTAATGGTAAAAAACACAATACGAAATACAGAGTGCCCTGAAACAGAGCACTCCGGGCTCCCCGCTCTACTGCCGTGCGATACAGATATCGGGACCAGCCAGTCAGAAACAGGGGGCATTTTGCATGAATAAACAACAGTATATATAGACATATTTGGGGCGGAGTTGTGTCGGCTCATCCGTCCCATTTTACTCCTAAGCGAATCAGAGAGTCCGTGGGGAGGAGTTGGGTCGGTTGCTCACTCCCCTCGGTGTTCTTACTGGTTGGATTCACTTTGGGTCGGGCCCAATACAGCGAATCAGAGTTCTGGGAAAAAGTATTTTTCTTCTGAACAGAGCGTGAGAGTACCTCGGAAGTAAACTTTTTATCTTGCACCTGAGTTCACTCCTTTACTTTCCCAAGGAATATTTCCCACAAACTCTATTCTTTCCCAGACAATCAAACATTGTACACAGATATATTGGTGCTTGAGAAATATAAATATGGTCCCAGAAAAAACCTTGAAAAGAATATGTGTGTGTGCTGGTGGAAGGAGGTGTATGTGTGTGTAGCAGGGTATCTGGGTCATTGAGTGTAAGTGAGAAGGTTATATATATATATATATATAGGATTACTTAAAACAGTCCAAAATAATACATGTTTACTTCAATACAGTTCAAGATAATACCTGTTTACTTTAATACAGTTTAGAACAATATCTGTTTACTTTACATCACACCTTACCTTGTTGGATTGACCAAATCCATATAAATACATTGGAGAGACAACCAGTAGAAAAATATATATATTATACTCTACAAGGCATTGTGTTCTTATCAATTTAGTTTTACAATTACTTAGTTGAAATGCAGGTAAACAAATAAATAATAATGATGATAAATAATTATTACCCGAAATTACAAATAAGTTGTCCTCAAGGGCAGTAATTAGTCATCACACCCAGAGGTAAATATATATTTTTGCACGAGAAATGGGTAATTTAGGTTAGGTTGTAGAAAGGTTCTAAGAAATTCCAGATTTTTTTTTGGCAATTCAGCACTCACAACAGGAAAGAATGAAACAGAGAGGAATCAATAAAACACAAACACAGATATAGTTGATCAATTATTATTTCGTTGTACAACAATCAATAATAATGAGGAAACATTACCTTTGCTCTCAAGCAGTGATAGTAATGCTCCGACGAGCACAAGAATCACACAGCATATATATACGTTTTCCAAATGGACGCACACACAATTTTCCTTACATTAACTAACGCACGGATATGTTCCAGATGTCGAAAGGTCATTATCTCATGACATTGTTATAGTAGAATGTTTAATGCAGCGTATTTCTGATATTCATTAAAGATCACTTGGTTTAGCTATATGATGTGTGTTACTGAGTTGGGTCACACACAGTTAGAGAGACAATGGTCGTTCTGAATTATCAATAGATATATTCATTTTAAGTGAGCTGACACCGAGGTTAGAGGAAGTTAAACTTTGTTAGTTAACTAATCCTAAGGATGTCAAGAGATGAGGACATTTTAACATATACAGCTGTCAGAGAGAAACACATGTGACATTTGTGTGGTAGGCTGCATGATAAAATGTGTGTGCGTTAAATATGCTTAGGGTGCTTAATGTGTGTGTGTTCATTGCAGTGGCTATATATGCTGTATGATTGTTGCTACTGACGCTGGGCATTTCCGCGATTGGCTGCTGTGGCAGCAGGTGATGTACTTCCCATTATTGTTTGTTTGTTGCAACAACTAAATAATAATTACTGATCAGCTATATCTGTGTTTGTGTTTTATTGATTCCTCTCTGTTTCATTCTATCCTGTTGTGTTATGCGGGATCTCCACAACAACCTCTTTAGGAGTAATTCATATCTTGTCAGGATATGAACCACCTAACTAACAAACTAACTGTGTTATAATCTGAGTAGCGCCTCTTTGTACTTCATCTGACCTTGGCGTCAGCTCACTTAAAATGAATAATTAGCAAAGAGACGATGGGCCTCTTGGCTCTGGAAACTGTAATTCAATAATATACCTAGTTATATTGACCAGGCATAAGACTGATATAACAAGATCTTCTTCCACCAGTGGTTCAACTTCTAACCAAATGTAGTTGCCCGGTACATTAAGACATCAAGGAAAGGTGCAGCAGAAGACTAATTGTCAAGAATGTCGCTTGGGGAAAGTACACCTTAGTGCAAGTGGTTCTTCAAGCTTATCAGCTGGCTGCAAATAGTTTTTAATGTACCTCTTATGCATTGTCAACTATCTGTGTAAACAATGACAATGGCTGATGCTCTAATGACTCACTTAATTGGTTGTAATCATCAAGGACTCTTGGTAAGCTACTCCATCAACTAAAGGTTCATCTTCTTCTTCGTGACCTTTTTGCATTCATACACACCAAGTGCGGAAGCTGTTCGGAAAAACGAACAAAACGCACACAAAACATAAAAAAGAACTATCAACCGATAACCAAATTAAAAATGTAGATTATGAACTTTGTTATAAAACATTTTTTAATCAGCAATCAGTATCAAATATAACTCTTTCTACAGTGTACCATCACATCCATAGACTAATAGATATCTGAAAATCCTTTGCTTAGAATTAGTTGCAGAAGCAGGGTAAGTTTGTAATACCAGCATAATATGTCTCTGCACAACACCATGTGTTCCCTCTTCTGTGCGGAATGTGTTTGTGTAACTCTGTTTCTGTTACTCTGTTGCAGGTAAAGGAGCCATGGCAGAGGTATCCACTATTGTCAGTGTTGTCAAACAATATCTTCCGATACCAGATGAGTCATCTCAGAAAACATCCATGTAACATCTTATTGTAAAATTAGGGTTGCACTATACAAGACATGATAAACTGCTTTCATCTATTTGACCTCTTCTAGTTGGGAATGTGCGGGTTTGTACTTACCTTCACTGACAACTACCTGAGTTTTGTTGCATGGCCTGAACATGTAAATGTTCTTAAACCCATTAACACACAAACACTTAAACACATATAAGTACAACTATTTGTTAGTATCTTCCATTACTCAGCAAGTGCAACCTTTGCAGCATGATGAGCCAGAGTAGCAAGAAAGACTTGTGTGGGAGTGTGATTTTATCAATGGCTATTACATGAAGCGTCTATTCATTATTAAATGATACAGCCATTTCTGCTGTGACGCAATAATCCCAATGTATGATAGTACATTTCTGTGGTTCACAAAGCAATATTTCATTAGTGACATTTAATCAAGCTCATGTAAATAAATGGAAAAATATAGTTCATGGTATAACACTTCCTCCACACAGGTATAGGCACATCATTTTGTACAAATACGATCAAATAATATTCGGTCTTTAAAAAAGTAATGGTGATTTATGGGCTTGTCATCGACACACTGTTGTGTCTTTGACAACACAGATGGAAAAATACTGTCAGTATCAAAGGTGAATGACATTTGGATTAAAAACTGAAATTCTGCAGTTATTACACTTCGTGTTTTGAAATATGTGTAACTCTGTTAATATAAAACCCACACTGCTCAAACTTCGTTACTTTTCCTAACATTTTATTTTTTCATTAACATAAAATAAATCTCACGTACCCCCTGCAGTACTCCAACGTACCCCTAGGGGTCCGCGTACCCCCATTTGAGAACCACTGATTTAGAAGATGTCATGGCTCCTGAGGGGTTAATTATGTGACATAAGCAGCGGAAACCTTCCCGGCAGACTGGCTAAGGCAGACTGGCTTTACTGCATACATAACATCAATGTGTCAACTGAGGAATGGATGTTCTAGAGTCAATGACCATTGGGTACTAGTCGTGTCTTTTTTTAGAAAACATACTTTTATTTTTATTTGCGCTGACACTATTCCAGTTTAATATTTGGTGTTTATGATGATATAAAGAAGGATATTTTTATGGGTTGTACGGCTTTTTCACCATGACTTTTCACCCTGACTCTAAGCGCCAAAGGTCAAAAGGGAAGAAACCCCATGGTTAACATAGCGTTAGACCTGTTGATCTCTTGAAAGCCCTCAATCTCCTAACACAGCAGTCTGAATTGTGTCAAGAGAAGCCAGACCAGAATGTCAAACCAAACCAGACAAGGCTTTGTTTATGTTACTGAGTGGAAGCAGATGTTTTGAACAACTATCTTACTTGTAATAAACTGAAAGGAACTCATCCTTGTAGGTGGAAATCTTGGAGGTATATCTCGTCTGGAGTATATCATTGTTGCAATTGCAAAATAGATTCAGATTGATTACAAAATAAATCAGCAGCGTTGGTATAAAGTTCATTTTTACATCCAACTTCTATCGTTTTACAGCACTATTGAGGAACATGGAAGTCTTCCTGTTCACATGCATCACCAGGGTATCATCATTTGTATCTCTTTGTCATCGAACTGTGAATATGGACTTTTTTTAAATTAAGAAGGTTAACCTTTCCATTAATATCAACATATTAGCTGGTAATGCTTTATTTGCATATGTTTTCGAGGTGATGGTAGTTATATTTTATCATAGTTAATGTTTGTTCTCATCAAATCCAAAGGCAGGCAGGGGAAATTTGGTTTGCAAATAGCCCGGGGCTTTTAAACTGCTGAGCTGTCGAGGTTTCAGCACATGGCGGCACGTGAATGGCTCTCTAGATGAAAAACATCCTCCCCTGAACCGTAACCTGTCCTGCTGCTATTGGCTGTTGTGTGTTTCTGTTAATGATTCCAAAGGAGCATTACATCAGCCATACCGGCAAGGGGAGTGTTGCTGAGACTTTGACAGCTCTGTGGAGGGTACAGCCTGCAGGTGCACCTTATAAAATAACATGCATGTTCTCATAACTACGGACATATCTTCAGAAATGTAACACAATTGTCTTATCGTCTGCCACTTCAACACCTGTTTATCAAAATATAAACAAGAACTTGCTGAACAGACTTTCAATAATATTATTGCATTCTCAGCCTATCAAACCTTGTTGTTTTGAGATTTAAAAAAAACTGAAGGCTGACCTAGAAAATGACAAAGCACTAAGTGTATGAGACTCATTCAGCAACATACCAACTTCATTTTCACCAGTGATTTATGAGCAATACTAGTTTGTCATTCAGCACTTGTTTGTTATTCAATTTGGTTAAATAATGACCTAAGTTGCTCAACAATGACTTATTAGAATTATACTCATTTCAATATCAACTATCAAAGGAATAGCTAAACATTTTGAAAGCCATTGTTGTTACCTTGGGTAGTTGAGATCAAGTTACCTGAGAACAAGAAGCATTTGAAGTCAACACAACCCCAGTGCTAGAACTACTAATCTTAGATACAAATTATAACTAAAATCAAAAACCCGAGAATAAGCAACATCAGATAGTAATCTTTTAATATCTATAGGAGAATAAAAGAATATACAAAGAAGCAAGGCGCCTGAAACTGGTTCTGCATAGGTTAGTGGGAAGGTCAGGTAAAGCACACGACAATGTTTGCATGAGAGAAGAGATGTGACAGTTGAGTATGCAGCAACATATTTTTTAACTGGAGTTCACTGCAAGTAGGAATTTTTGCCATGACCTTGAGCTTATTAAATAAAAAAACAAAACATCTAACATTTGTTATTATCAAAAAACCCGGAGAAGATGAAAGATGTCTGTAGTAACTTGAATGTGATAAGATATACTGTTTGAGGCTCAGCTAAAAAAAGACAGACTTCCACTATCATTTGTACACATTGCGTAATGCATACTTTTCATGGTATGTACAGTAGGGTATACTCTACACTGTACAGACATGGAACGACAAACATGCAATGAACCTATATGATAGCTTGTTCTCTGTGACACTTTGTGTACACGCTCAGGTGTGTGTCTCCTGTGTGTCTGTCGCAGCTCGAGCAGTCTCTCTGGGCTCAATAGTTCCTGTCCGGTGGGAGCGTTTCATCAGAAATACATCCTGAGAGATCACCTGCTCTACTCCCTGTGTCACCACAACTCTTCTTATTGACTCTGAGATGTTTAAAAGTGGTAAACACACAAGTAAAATTACTGATTTACATTTTCTTGACATATTGTACTTGTCTGTGTATACATTGTGAACTTTAGATACATATTGCAATGTTTGTTACAACAAAACATTACAAAAGTTGTGCCTTGGCCATGAACATTTTTAAAAAGGTAAAAACGAATACAAATCCTGACAATACATTTTATTGTGATATAGCTGCCTTAAAAAAAAAAATTATAATGACATTGATAGCTTCTTGGGGAAGACTAACACTTCTTTGACATAATTAGTTAAATTATTGTGGTATGTATATCAGATATACAACACAAGGAAGAGGGAAATAACCTTCAGTAAGAAAGTACTGCCAGTAAATAAGAGGAAGTAGATTTTAAAAGAAAGATAATCCACCTCTTCACTATGCGATTCAAACCATCGCATGTTTTTTGCATCATTTTTGCATTGTGTGTTTAAGCTACTTGTTGCTGTTTCCATATGGCACATTGTTAGCCCCTTAATGTTCTGTGTTGTTTAGCCTTAAGCTGAAATTCTATGGTAACTGGAAATGAGGGAGATGTGAAAGCTCTCCGTGGGGAAAGGTTCAGCCTCCTCTCCTCAGTCAAACCCCCTGCCGAGCGCGTCTATACCAGCGGGGCCACAGGGACTGATGGAAGCCACCAACTTGTCTAGACTAAACTGAGGCGTCACATGGGACACACAAATTAGCCTCCAGTCCACAGGTGAGGAGGGACTGGTATGATGCAAGTGCAACAAGAAATGAACTCATTCATTTGAGATTCAAGCTAGTGGAATAATTTAAGTTGACTTTAATGTTGGATTGTCTGTGTCTTATTGTAGTGATATGTAGTTAAATCCAACATCACTATTAGTGTAAAAGCATAATGCTCAAGGATAAATGTGCATGTGTTGAATAACAAGATGTGAAACAGAGACGGTCTGAGGTAATGGCTGACCTGATTTTAACTTTGGTCAACCAAAGTCAACCATTAACTACATTAGAATGAGGTCAACCAATGTGATTCTGTGCCAGAGTGTTCTTTTAAAGCAGTGTTTTGTCTACACATGCTACCTATATATAATATATATCAGGCATTTTGCATTAACAAAAAAAAACAATGGAAATACAGCTGTGTGACAGAAGGCCTAACCGTGGTGTTTCAAGGCAAACGCTGGAATTGGTTAGGTGTAGGATACTCCAAACTCTAAAAACCGTTCCTTTATCTGTGCCAAAAACTATTCAGAGTGAACCTTTAACACCTCTGTAATGCATTCTCTTTATGTAAAGTGGTAACACTCAGTCTGTCAGGGGTAAAGTGAAACACCTAAAACATATGTGATAAGTAGCATGCTTGCAGAAAGACTTTCTTCATGTAATGTCTTATGTACACATATGTATGGCGTGAAATCATAATAACTTATTAATGTTGACCCCCTGGATTTCTCTGACGGCTAAATGGACCAAATCCAGATTTGGGAGAAAATAACCCCACCACATTGTAAAATGGACAATGTTATCCCCACAAAGTATAATGTCTTTCAAATGTTCTGAAAACACAGAGAAATATAACACATGTCAACACTTTGGATTTCTTACCCAAGATAACATCAAATTGGTGCACTTTGGACATGTGACGCATTTATTATTATAAAGCCTACAACTGTACTGCACTTTTCTTTTAAATGTGTATCTAGAAACATGTTTTGTAATTATATGACTATCCTGTGACGGCCATCGCCTGTTGATTTAGCAAAGGAGATATACAGGTTTGTCTGTTTATTGTGACATTGATGGCAACTGACAATTTATTGATAAGAGGTATAAAGGTTATAAGACATGTTGGTAATGTATGATTATTTGGCATTGGGCGCGTAATACACACACTGAACAAATTGTTATGTTGAATTTACTTAATTGTATTAAGGTAAGTGGTTGCACGAAACAAATGTATCTAAATCCAGATATATTTTTTAAGTTCACTGTAGGCCTACTTATTATTTGAGTAATTTCAACTAAATTATACTTATAATTTCAGCTCAACTATTTTTAGTAGAAATTCCAACTAAAGCCATGTTCAGTATACTCAAATGGATTATGTAACTGTAATCTTTTTTCTTTTTGAACATTCAGATCAATTAAATTGTCTAATTCCTACGAAAATTAAGTTGAATTCAGTTAAACATTATTAACCATTATTACTATCTTAACTTTCAATATATTAAAATAAAACAAACATATTTTGAAACAACTCTTACTTTATCGTATACAAAATGACGTGACATGAAGCATGAGTCTTAAACATCTTCTGATTCGATAAAAACAAAATGCAACTGACTGACATGGCCTCCACCTCTACCTAGTCTGTCTCTCCCCCCTCCCGTATGTGTGTGTGTGTGTGTGTGTGTGTGTGTGTGTGTGTGTGTGTGTGTGTGTGTGTGTGTGTGTGTGTGTGTGTGTGTGTGTGTGTGTGTGTGTGTGTGTGTGTGTGTGTGTGTGTGTGTGAGAGAGAGTGTGAGAGAGAGTGTGA